ACAGAGGAAGAATATCAGGCAAAAGAAGAGCCTCTGGGATGCCCTGTAGCCTGCTGGCAAACCCTACCGAGACTGCAGCTAGAACTGAGCACCAGCAGTACTGGAGCGTGAAGAAGGCAGAAACCTTTGATGAGCCACTGCATGTGCTCGGGCAGGGAAGGTGCACGAAGCAACACAGTGGCCGTGACAAAGAGGTTCTCACAATGAGCAGTTCTGTGAGCCTTGCCACACAAATTGCGTGCCATGTGGAGGCCTCTGCGGTCACCTGCACACATGGCAACACTGATTTCCTCCCCCTTTCTCCTTCCAATCAGTGGCACTTTGGCTCTTGAGCTGGAGGGACTAGCAATGTAGTGGACAATCAATTCATTATTAAAATCGGAAGATACAAGCTATGTGCAAATAAACACATCACACAGAAATTTCAAACATATTTGGCAGCTTTCATACTCACATCACCCTATCTACGTTCAAGTATCATCAACAAGGATGTGCATTCAAAAAGACTGTATTGACACCTGTGTCAATGCACTTGACTTTATCTGGCTGGTAATGGCAATATTACTTTTCTGCTCAAATTAAGGTATCTTAAAACGTGGAATCTAATAACTCCTTCCCTAGGATGATCACAAAGATCATATTCTGCCAGTATTTGTTTGTGCAAAGTCACTAATTCCTGTACACTACAAATTACCATAACACCATGAAGAATCCACATCAGATATCCTACTGTTGCTGTGTATCCCACAGTGATGCTGACACTGGTGTTTTCTTGGAATTTTTCATCTAAAAGGCATGTTTTACACTTCTCTAGTGTGAAAATTTGATGAACTGGGAACACGCCCTGAATTCTGGAATTCTTATAGGAATCTTTTTGGTCATAGATACTGCTATTTTTTTTACAGACTCTAAAGTGAGAAAGCAAATACATTCCTCTAGTTTAAATTTTCTAAATTTGTAGGCATTTCTTTCATTAATCCAGTTAACCTGAATCACATGGCTTTTTGTTTTGTTTTGACAAATGTTTTCTTTATTTCCAGTCAATCTAATGTTTGATAATCATGACTTTCATTCATTTTTCATTGCTGAGATCACATGAGTTTTCTTTGGAGTGTTAATTTGTGTAGCTGTATTAATAGTTTAGTGCCCTCACCAGCCATTCTGGGGAAATGCTCAATCACATGTAAAAGGCAGCAGGTGGGATCCATGCAGTGCTATCTAGATCTCTGTCATGTAGAGGTCTACATCTAATATAGGCTCCCTCCATACACAAGGAAGAATTAAGCATCTTTAGCACATGAGTCATGTCGTCCTAAAGTAGATGCCTAGAATAGGTCAGATGATTTGTGCCCTAAAATTGCTCCTATTTCTCTATGTTAAAGAACAAGTCATTTATATCTTGATGTCTCAATTCTAGCAGCCTCAAGTGAGATGAGATTAATGGATAGTCTTACATCCAGGTTTATGTCATGCTTTGAAATACCCTAAAAATTCTTATTTGTCAAGAAAGCTGAAAATAGCATTACTTTTTATATTATTCTCCATTTATAAAAAAAAAAAAAAAAGCAGCTTTAAAAATTTTCTGCCTCAAGACATTTTTGTAAAATGGAAAATACCACGTGTTTCATGGGAAAGTCGTAACACCTCTCTTTTTAATAACTAAGTCTTTTAGTTCTCTGTCTGCAAGGCTGGGAAATAAATGAGTTAGATACATTAAAAGTCCAGAATAAGAACCTGCTCTTGGTGAAATGATACAGTATGGGGGGGGGGGGATGTTAAAAAAAAACCCAAGAACCAAGAAAAAACTGTTTTGGCAGGCTGAATTTTTTTTTTTTTAATGAAACTCAAAAATGATATATGAAAACGTCTTTTAAAACTAAACTAGTTGACAGAGCACAGGTGAAACAGTTTTCTTTTAAAAGTGTCATAGTATCTAAAACCTGACAGAGGTGTCACATTAGTGTGGCACATGTGAAGAGAATGTGTGCCAGGAACTCCTCAAGAAATGTAGAATACTTCTGACCAGTTCTGCTCTCAGGAGTTAAAATCCTGCATAAAGCTGATGAGTAAGCTCTTGATGACTCACTGTGGCAGATGCAGTCTTTAATTCCAGGAGGGTATAAGGGAAGTGGGTGTGAATCTCGAGTAGAGGGAAGCTAGGGATGTTCCTGCCTCAGTGTCTTGGGGATAAAAGTGTAGGTTTTTAATACTGCCCTGGCTATCAGCAATGCCAAACTTCTGCAAGGGGTAAGTTTGACATTACACATCACACATAGATTTTATGTGAAGCAAGGTTGGAACACCACCTACTCACAGATGGGTATAATTTTGGGGATGTCCTGCATAATTCATGTGTGGCTTTGATACTTATGAGTAATTCAGACATCAAAGCCTCAACTTAGATAACACTTTTATAACACTAAACTTCCTATAGCAAATAACCTGTGGGCTTTCATTTAAGTCCCTTTAAAAAAGAAAAAGGCAACTATACCAATACTTTCTTCTTTACCTTCAGTTATTTTTCATGAGGTAAGTTTGCTGTGAAGCACAAGATAAAATATACTGAAGCCTGAAGTAAAGAAAAAAAAAATCCACATAATACTCTTCACTGAGACTAGAAATGTAAATTTAAATCACTAGAAAGGAGCTGGGAGCCCCTTTCCTGAGAGCACACCAGATACCAGGCCCTTACAGTCACTCAGCAATATTCCCCTCTGCTTTGCCAGTGGCACAAACCTTCACTTTTCCACAGTCCAATTTTTGAACAAGCAATTTTATGTTCTCTTCCAAGTTAGCCATTATGCATGAAAAATTTCCTCATTAATAACCGTAAAGCTCCTTTATTGTTCTCCTTCAAATCTCCTTAAAACTTCCTTCTGACACCAAACACTTGTCATAGCTGGGCCTGTTGCTTTTTATTCTCAATGCTGTTTTTCCCTTATCCTTCCCCCATGGGTTTGTACTATACACCTGTTGTCTTTCATCATGGGTTAAGATCATAAGCTCTTTGGGCATAGACCATCTCTCTTATTACATGTGTCTACAGTATCCAACACAATGGAACTGTGAGCCCTGAATGGGGCCTCTGGGTACTGCCATGATCCACTTGATAAAGAATGATGATTTTTGACATGGTGAGTTCTGCAGTTTTTCCCAAGTCATTCTGCAGTTGTTCACGCTGATATAACCAGTGTGTGAGAGCAGTGTCCTTAAATCCTAAAAGAAAGGGTAAATGCTTCGGAACTATTTGCCAGAGAGCAAGGACTTTGATGCTTTGGTGTTGTTTTTTTTCCTATGCCTGCATATTGAAATGCATGGGCTGACATGCAGCAACTGTTTCTTGTTGTGCGTTTGTACAGAACTAGAGTGATGTGACCCTGCTCTGAAGCTTCTGCATCCTGTCCTTCAAATTGCACTAAAGCCTGTTGGAGTCAAATAAAAGGGGGGTGGCTCATGCGCCACTGGCGTGAGTCAGTTCCCTAAAGGTCCGTGTGGATTCAGGACACAGCTTTTCCCTGCTGCAGTTTCCCTGCTAGACATGGAAACTAGTATCTCTCCCTCCTCTCGTTTTTAGTCACATTGGCAAGCGGGGGGATGCAAGAAAGCTGCACCAGTCAGAGCTGGACTGTTGGCTTTTGTGGTGGGGAAGGCAAAGAGAGTCACCCCCTCCACCGCATGCCCATTGAGCAGGGGACATGCAGAGTCGATTATTTTTAATTAACCCCCTTGCAAAATTCTCCTTCTCTAGAGTTCTCTTTCCAGGCTCCATCAATGACCTTCCCAGACCCTGCTACCTCAGCAGTGCACATCATCATTCACGCCATGCAATCTCTTCCCCCAGCCCCCAAGATATTATGTTTCTCCTTTTTTCCCTGCCTCTCCCTCTCCCCCCACCATTCCCAAAAGAGTCTGTCTTTAGGTTTTGTGCTCAATTCAAGGGGCTGCCGGGGTGTCCTCTCCGTCCTGTAAGGCTCCGCATCGTGCCCAGTCCTTGAGCTCTGCTCAAGAACACTTTAACAAATGCAGGAGACCCTCTGTCTCTTTGCTGATTCACACAGCTCTTTTCGGAGGGCAAAACCACAATAACACCAATTCTGGACGTCATCAGAAGAAACAGAAGCCCTCTCTCTGCTCTCCGAGTCTCTCCCGACAGTTTTAAATAACTTCATTTTGGGGGGTGGGGGGGAGGGGTTGGGGGCAGAGAGAACGCGTACTTCGCACCGCACCCCTATCTCCCCCCATGCCACCTCCTGCTCGCTTCTCCCTTCCCTCCACCGAGCTCTTGCAAGCTGGGGCCGAGCGAGGAGCCACGGTAGCCCCGCGGGGTGTCCCGGGCGGCGGCAGGGCCCCGGCGCTACCGGCAGCGGCATCCCCTAAACTGCCCCGCTGCAGCGCAGGGGCAGAGCGGGAGGGCTGCGGGCTGCCGGGGCGAGGGGCCAGAGTGGAGAAGGCAAAAACTGCAGCGTGGGCAAAAACGACCCCCACCACCCGCCCCAGCTCCCGAACTTCCCGCGCCCCTCCGCTTTGCCCACCGGAGCTGAGTTAGAACCCCGCTTGGGACAGCGGCAGCCCGGTTACCTGCGGCAGAGCGGGCCGGGGCCGGGCTGCGGAGCGGTGCGGGGCGGGCTCGCCTCCGCCTCCCCTGCGGCGGGGCCGGGCCCCGGGCCGAGCTCGGGCTGGGCGGGCAGGGCGCTGCCCGCCCCGCTCCCCCCGCCAATGTCAGGGGGGACTCGGGCTATGCGGGCATCTCCCGAGGAGCCCGCTTCCCGCAGCGGGCGGGCGCGGTATATTTAGCATCGCGTCGCTTTATTCCTCCCCCAAAGTTTCGCCCACTTATTTATTTATTTGCCGACGAGCGCCGCGCTGCCGCAGAGCAGCAAGAGCCGCTCCGCGCCGTGCCGAGCGCTGGAAGCGGCTCGGTATTGCAGCAGGTAGGGCTGAGCGCTAGGACCTCGGAGAATCCTTCCAGCAGCAATCAGGACTACCTTAAACCCAGCCCAATGCCTCTTCCTGCGCCACTCTGCGTGCTGGATGGAGATCCACAGTCAAGAGCTGCAGCTCAGTGCTGGAGTACAACATTTCACAGGGAGCCCTGCAGAAGCAACACCTGTTTCGAGCCAGCCAAGAAAGACACAAGCACTTGTATGTTGCTGCTTTGCTTGTGGATCGTCAATAATCCTAAACCAGTGGACATCTGCTGAGCCTCCTGAGAATTCTGGATAATAGATTTGGACGTCAAAAGTTTTTTTTTTCCTTTTTCTTTTTTGCCTTTTTTTTTTTTTTTTTTTTTTTTTGGATTTATATCCGCCAACAACGTGAGATTTCCCCCCTCCCCCTTTGCAGGATTCATGCTGATGTATGCAGTCTGTTATAGAGTAAAAACAGCGCATGCCTTTCTGGAGTCAGAATCCATAAATCCTGACGTAGCCTGTGCATCTTAAAAAAAAAAAATCCCTATAACGCCTAGGTATTTAAGTTGCTATGGTCATTCTTATCTTAAACCAAATGGAGAAACTACGGATTTTTTTCTTTATTACAGTTGGATGGGCTGAAGACCGTATTGCTTGCTAAGAGCTGGGGATATATGCATTTATATAGATATACACATCTATATGTTTATAAATATGTCAGTGTGTGAGTATAAAGTGGTGGTTTCTTAGACTAACTGGTTTGACCTTGAACCTGTACCAGTCAAAACAGAATATTACTTTTATTTATGCATTTAATGGATTGAAGAAAGAACATTTTCTCTGTAACTGCGCTAGGGAGGGGAGAGGAGTGGAATATACCTAATCTTATATCTCCTGGGTTTGGCACCATCATTATTGTTTATTCTCATTCTCTAAAAGCAGAATCTTCTGATGGCTCCCTTAGGTGAAGTTGGGAACTATTTCGGTGTGCAGGATGCAGTACCCTTTGGGAATGTGCCCGTTTTGCCGGTGGATAGTCCGGTTTTGTTAAGTGACCACCTGGGTCAGTCTGAGGCAGGTGGGCTACCCAGGGGGCCTGCGGTCACGGACTTGGACCATTTAAAGGGGATCCTCAGGCGGAGGCAGCTATACTGCAGGACTGGATTTCATTTAGAAATCTTCCCCAATGGTACTATCCAGGGAACCAGGCAAGACCACAGCAGATTTGGTAGGTATTATCCTTAACCCTTTAGTGGTCATGTGATGAAATAATGGGAGAGAACTGCGGGCGGGGGGACGGTGGGGGGTGCGAAGCGGGCGGGAAGGGGGGTTTGTGTTGATGGCTGATCCGCCGAGGGGAAAAATGAATGTGTCCGGGGGTGCAGATGTACACGAGCGGCACACCAGCGCGGCGGAGCAGGAGCCCTCGCCGAAGTCGCCGGGTGTTCGGTAGCGATGTTTGTGCAGCCCCAAGTTCTGCTTAAGAGCAGACGCGTACTGGGAGGTGGTGGTGGTGGCGGTGGAATTTTTGCTCGGGACGTTTCTGCTGAATGATTTGATTTCGCGAGTTTAAAGGGTTTTTAATCATTAACCACCACAATTTAAAATTCACCGAGTTTCCTGGAGGGAGTGGCTCTCGTCCTATACGCAAATTGACGAGGGCTTTTCTTTCGTTTTCTCTGCCGATTACCTGCCCTAGTAACTGCTCGAATTGCACACCCTGCCTAGTTCGCTGCTCGGCGGGGGTTTACCGGCAGCGCACGCCGACCGCAGCCGGGCTCTCCGCCCGCCCGCACCCGCAGCCGTGCGGCAGTGCCGGTGACAGGCGCCCCGGGAAAGAGGGAGCGCAGGTGGGGTCCGGAACCAGCCGGGAATCCTGCGCCAAAACCTGCCCTTCTCGAGCTGCGTGGAGCGTCAGGCTGGCAGCGAATTTGAAAAGAACATTCCCTGGCTTTCCTTTCTAGGGGACACTACTTGTGACTCAGCAGCCAGGGCTGCTGGCCCCGGCCGCGCCGGAGAGCCTATGCATGCACACACGCGCACATGCACACGCGAGTCCAGTGGGCCTGAAGCTTCTCGGCTGCCAGGGAGTCTGTTAAAGGCCCGGCAGATTGAATGTATGAAAGTGACTAAAACACGCTGGCTGAGCTGATTATTTGGTTTTTTTTTAAGGAGGGGTGCGGAAAATATGCCAGGTTAGCTCGCCACGCTCCCAGCTGTTGGAAGGAGTTAACTTGTGAGTGAACCAACCTGACAGCACTTAAATTCGGTCGTAAAAACAAAGTCCTGTGTTGATTTTTTTTCTCTCTTTATATTTCAATGCCAGATGTTGAACGATATCTAAGCTGTATTTTATTGCTTTGTGAAGCTATTTAGATAATGCCGGTGTTGTAGGAGATGATCTCCAAAGGGCTCATAAGGGAAGCGGGGAGGGAGGGACGGGGGAGGAGAGGACTGAAGCTCTCGCATGGTCGCAGGTTCATCCTCCATCCCCCTCCATCCGCTGCTCCCTGACACTCTCACGCTGCTTACAGGCTCTTCTTCCCTCCCACGCCGCCCGCCCGGGGTCTCCGGGGCTGGGTGCGGGGTGGGGGCAGCGTCGCGCCTCTCCCGGGGGCGCAACATCCACGCTTGCCGGCGAGGAAAAAGTGCGGAAAGTGTTTAAGGCAGACGCGTAGTGAGGGGAATGGGGCGGGGGTGTGTGTGTGTGTGTGTTGCAGCTAGGCGTTGTCCTTGGCACGGACAGACGCCGCGCGTAGCTGCTGAGCCACCGCAGCAGGTTCCCCTTGGCCGCTGCGGTGCGGGCGCAGGGCGGCGGGCGCGGCGCGGGGCCGGCGGGGGAGGCGCGGAGTGGGGCCGCAGCAGGTGTAGGGCGCTGCGCGCACCGGCAGCCGGGGCGGCAGGGGGTCGGCAGCCCGCGGGGCCCCGCCGCCCCCGGAGGAGGGCCGCCAGCTGTTCCCTTCGCGAGGCGGCGGTGACCACATTATTCGTGGCGTCTATTTTTAAAAATGGCTTTCCAGCCGCAGCTGTAGGAAGCTGACAATTCCGAGGGGCAGTTCTTCCCTTGCAGCGCCTTGGCTTTAAATAGATTGATTTTTTTTTTTTTTTTTTTTTTTTTT